GTTCAAAGCCAATTCAGTCACAAAGCACTAGAAAAAGAGAGCTGATTTTGTTTTTTTAAAAAATCTTATGTTTAGTTGAGATTTTCATAATCCTAGGGCTATTATTTCATTCGATTTTGAAAAACTAGAAAAATCTGTTCTGATCAGATTTTATTATAGATTTGTGCAAACAAATGAATATTATAGTTCTTTTTCATATATGTGATTATTAAAATCATAGTGTTTGGATATTCGAAGAGCATTTTTGCTGCTAATTTTAGATTTCCTTAGCCCGAGTCTTCCCCGCTATCTGTATTTATCTGTTTGTTTATTACGTTTCAGGCCTGCGACAAGGACCCCCAGTGCGGCGGAGGCATGTGCTGTGCTGTTAGTATCTGGGTTAAGAGCATAAGGATTTGCACACCTATGGGCAAACTGGGAGACAGCTGCCATCCACTGACTCGTAAAGTTAGTATACGTGTTTGTATTCATGGTGGTTCTCTCATGTCGCAGTAACTTAACTCCAAGCAAGGCCTGTATGACATGAAGGCCGGGGTAATGTGCTTGAAATTGGAAGTTAGGGAAGATGACAATGGAAAAACCACCCCCTGTCTTCTCTCCCCTTCCATTTCAAAGAATTGTATCCTCTACCATCCTTATTCAAGTGATAATTTTCATGTCATTGCTCTCATGGCATTAGAAACATATTATCAAAATAATTTCTTCTAACACAAATTTGTTTAAAAATTTTTTACGACAAAAATATATATTATGTTCTAGTATGCTTCTTTGCAGAAATTAGAGTATAGAAGACCTTGAAAAGACTTTTAATGTTAGATCTACTGATAAGGCAGAAGTACATAAGCTTTAGCTTTTGTCTTTTCAGAAAATCGGCATTAACACAGTTACACTTGTATCTTAATTTAAAAGTTCTATATTTTGACTCTATACCTACAGGATACATTGTTCACAATTTTGGAGATTAATGATGTTTAATTTTCTAATTTGCTTTGTTATCTGGCAGCTAAATATCACAATGGCCTAAACAACACTTTTGAAAAGTTGCAGGGTTGGATGGGGCTTTAGAGGTTGTGTCCCCAAGGGCTGCATACTCACCTGTGCAGGGGTCAGGGAGGCTTGTGTTAGGAAGGGGGTAGGTGGGAGACAGAAGGGAGCAAAGAACTGTGGGGGGCTGCAGAGTCCTTGCCCTTCACATTTGCAAACTTTTGGAAGGCAGCTACGCTAACCACTACGCAACCGACGCCTTGGTCAGATGGAAAACTTTTCAAACACAGTAGGGTCTCAACAAAATCCCCCAGGAATGCTAGGTTGCAGTGCCTTCCTCTAGTCCCACCTCCTCATTTCACCCATGAGTAAAATGTAGTCCGGAGGCATTGAGATAAATCCTAGGCCTAGGCCAGGTAGCTTGTCAGAGGCAGAATTCAGTCTATAGTGTTCTCTCTGCACATTGTATACTCTCATTTTAAAACAGGTCAAATATTTCCAAAGCAAACCAAATTCTATGTCCTACTTTGTTTTTTCACATGTGATTTAG